GGGGCGGGGCACTGCTGCGGGCCGGAGCGGGGCCCGCGAGGTCCACAAATCATTTCCTGGCGAGAAAGCAGGCGAAATATGAGCAACCTGCGAAAAACAAAAGGCTATGCGGATTCTCCATGGCCCCCACGACGATTGCAAACATCCAATTTTCTCCACTGCAGCTAACGATGGCCCTTTTTTTGTTTGTCTTCCCCTTCTTCCTATACGACGCGTGGACAGCTGGACTCGGCGCTGGAACCGGACTTTGACCGCATCGCGGCGCGCATCGGCCGTCTACCCGTGCCGACCGAGCTGCGCAGGGACATGCAGGACGGCGTGCAGTTCTGCAGGCAGTTCTCGGTAAGTAGTATGGGCGGACGGCGAGGGAGAACGGGTCACAAAAGCACCACCGGGCTGGGGGCCTTCGTCGGTGTCGGGGTGGTGGTGTAGAGATGACTGTCTTTTTTCACTTCGACCCATTCATGTTTTGGTAAATTCTCCCGTGTCGTTCAAACTTTATCGGTATTTACATCGAGGGGCACTTAAATATCAATGTGCATCCAAAACAAATCAACAGTCAAAACCATTTTTAAAAAGTCATTCAAAAATATATATAAAAAAAATAAAAAAATAAAAAACAGTGGAAAACAGAGAACAACAGAAACATTGGTGTGTGCTTGAATCTAAGTACCCCTCGATTTCCTGCTCGCCGTGTGTTGCAGCAATGCATCCCGGACTCTCGGCGCGACAAGTTCATGCTCTCGGGCGAGCTGCTGCGGCCCATGTTCTTCTTCCGCTGCTACAAGCACAAGAAGCTGGAGGCGTGCATCATGAAGGACGTGCGCGAGCGCTACCAGCAGGCGGCCCAGGGCGGCGTCGACGACAACCTGCTGCCCAACACGCGCGCCATGGACCTGGACCGGGACGCGGAGCAGCGCGGCGGCGACGGCCTCGACGAGGACCACATGGCCGCGGCCGTGTACGAGTTCCTGTACGGCGGGGACAACCTCGACTCGGACCCCTTCTTCTGAGGCCGTCGTGGCCTCCAGCCCCTGACCTACAGGGGGGGGGGAGGGAGAGTTAAAGACACTTCGAACGACCTTAAATTGTGATCGTTTCCGTGGAGACACAGAGGGCTTGACTGAGACAAATATTTGTAATTTGCCTCCGGATTTTCATTCCTGAGGAGAGATGTTGCACTCATAAGCAAAACGAAACACGGCCAGTTTGCGATTTCTGACGTTTTGGTTTTGATTGTATTTAAATTTCCGCAGGGAATTTATATTGGCTGTGAGGAAAGCTCCACAAGACGAAAATGCAATAGATTGTGCTTGCTTGTCGCAGTGTACACCGGACGCTCGCGTTTCAATGGCGTAGTGAACTCATGTCAAACCTCGCATGTCACCCTTCGCTACGCCACTGGATCAGAGCGGCCGGGCCGAGGAGGCACACGTTGTGTTTGTCCTCCGAGGAGCCAAACGATCGGGTTGAGGCTGACCTAACTCTCGGCCCAACTCGAACTTCTCCCTGAAAACACGTAATCCGTCACTCCAATGTCGTAGAATAGAATGATTGTAATGTGGGTAGTGAGTTACTCATCGTGTATTTGTATTTATATTTCCACGTTCCCCACAAACAGCAATTAGAATTTTATTTGTCATTGAAATGATCACTACGTGTTTAAAGGGAATTAAATTAGATAATAGATTGTAAATCAGAGAAAGGGTGGTTGAAATAAACAGACGCCAGTCTCAAACAAAAATAATCCTTATCACGTACCACATGCTCCAATAAGCTCAAGGCCCGTAAGGTTCGATCCCCGCCCCGAGCCAGACACCGCACATTACATCACTGGCATGCATGTGTTTCCGATGAATTGTTTTGACATCGGTTTTTGCGTCGTTAGCGATACGCAACTGAGCCTGATGTCGTTTCGACGTCGTTGTGATGACGTTTCGAGGTCGACCGTCCGTCAAGCTCGGTCAAGCCGTGGATTTCAAGCCCACTTTTGTTATTGCTATCAACCTGAAAACTAATGTCGAAGCGAGAAACGATATCGTCGGAAAATAAATTATCACAGTGTTTTTCTGCTTCCGGCGTAAAGCAGACACCATGCAGCATCTTCATGTTCTGAGTTGTGAAAGAAAAGAGCATTGGCTGGCTGAGCCGTCAGAGAGAACGAGACAGGCACCGAGAAAGAGAGCGAGAGAGAAAGATGGAGACAGTCGCATCCCGGGCGCGCCGGCGCGTCGGACAGAGAGGGATGTCGCCGTCGGAGGGTGTGCGAGAGGGTGCGGGAGGGCGAGCCGACGGGGACGCGAGCAGGGGGTGGGTGCGGCGCGCGCGCGCGGTGGCCTCGCGTGGTGCGAACGGCGGCCGAGCTCCCCGTCACGACCAGGGGCGCCTCACGCCGTCTTCCCTTGTCCCCCCGGGGTGGGGAACCACCCCACCACCCCCTGCGCCTCTCC